GAGTGGTTTGGGTTTGACATCAGAAAACCATGGGGGTGTACTATCAGCCAGTTTGAGATCTCTTAGCATCTCAAAGAAAAACACTTTCAAAGCAGCGTTGTGTCTATCCAGGTACTTGGACTGTGCAAGAGACGGACATCCAGCCAGTACATGTGCCAGACATTCGGAACCCTCGCCGCACATTCTGCTTGTGACATTATTCTTGTCTGTTGTTCCCGTCTTGTAGGCGGAGTAGACTCTCGTTGGGGTTAGCTGTTCGTACAATTCCATAATGCCTGCAACACAATGGGTAGGAGCGCTTACCCACATGTTAAGCCATGCAAAGCAGCCTTCATGACTTAATTGATCATCCTGCCATCTTGCTTTCAGTAGATAATATTATTATTATTATTATTATTATTATTATTATTATTATTATTATTATTATTATTGGAACACCACGATGGCCGCTGTGGCCTCACGTGAAAACGCTGTATTGATTGATTTTTCACTTGGCGATGTATCACTCAGTTTTGAAGAAATGTCGAGCTTATATCAATCAAGAACAAGATCTAACATGAGCAGGGGATCCTACTGCCAGGGCTAACTCTTTTGACTTGTTTCTTGAGTCCCCCGAAAAAAGAAAACTTGTGCCTAACACAAGAATCAACGTGGGTCAGGGACAACAACATAGCAAAGCAAACGTGGTGGGCAGACGACTGAAGTTTATCGAAGAGGGTCTGTGGCCCTAAACCAAATTAAAAGAAAGCATTTGTATAACTTACCTGCTGGAAGTTTTCTTCGTCATTTACTTGATTCATAACTTTCGTGAAGGTGTCTTCATATATTTTTGCTGTATCTTTTATTCTGTTTACGTCATTTTGAAGTTCTTCCCACTTTACGAGAGGGGCAAAGAGACTGTTCTTTCCAAAAATGTCAAAGCCGTCTTTATCCACGAAAGCAAGTTTTCTTCGGGCATCTAAAGAAAAGCAGAAGATATATTTTGTTAAAAGCCAAGATAAGCTTAGATAACTAACGCACTGGTTATCTTACAAGTTGCTTGTTGCTTTTTTCCTTTTATTTATGAGCATGTAATATTTTTAATACAGTCAATTCAAACACGTTGACGTTTTTCGGCTCCGGCCTACGCGACTGCACCTTAAGGGAATATAATATGGATGAAAATTACTGAAGGGGTTAAATATTCGTTCTGGATTCATTGTTCCCGCTAGTGATATAAATGGCGACTATCAACCAATTAAATGTATATGTCTTCAGAAACAATGTAGTTATTACTGTTATTCAATAGTTTAATAAGTTCCCAATTTTGAAAATATCAAGGCATAAAAAGCCTTCTTCAACTTATAAACACTGCTAGCTCGCCAGCAAAAGGTCAGTTCTATAAACACTAGGCACAACTAAACAGATACAATCATAACGAGCTTCATAGTACTTTGAAAAACAGACCTCCTGCTGATGTCCGTTYCCTGAGAGGACCAACATCGGCAGGGGTCAAACAGAAAGTGCGTTTCATGAATTAGGGCGTAGGTGTTGGTTTTTGCACTTCGAGCGTAACCTTTTGAGTATTGAATGTCAGCAAATACGATTAAATCTTATCAATGTTTTTATTCAAAACATTATGGCAACACAAAGTTTATAAAGTCTCCTTGCAATTAGCTTTTTTACAACAACTCACGTAAATAACACATTCTGATTGGCTGAGAGCTATGATCACTAAGAGGACAGACACATGGATGACGTAATGTTTTTGAAAACAAGACTCGCCGGTAGGATTTTATCGTAAGGACTGTGATTTTGCGAATTTATTTTGCTAATAAAAGTCGACAATGGAACTAGAAGAGGAACCAAACTTTGAATTTAATCTTGCTGATAGTCTTGCCGACGAATATTTAGTTCTGGAGGCAGAAAAGATAGAGGAAGACGTGAAAAATTCATCTCGCTTTGCA